TACTAATTTAAAGTAAATAAATATCTTTATTTTTCTTAATTAAATTTATTATTGTAATTAATTTTATAATTTCAAAAACTAATAATTAATATGTAACAAATAATTTGATTTGTTAATGGAAATAATGAAATAAAATATTTATATTTAGAATTAAATTCAATTTTATCTTATCACACATCGAATGTCAATAGAAAATTAGAAGAGGGTCTCTCCTTTAAAATGAATATCATGATGATAGAAGCCACTATTGGGCTTGCTAGGAAAAATAGGTGAGCCTCAAGTTAGTTCAAAAAAATTTTCCTAATTTTTATTAATTTCAGATCGGATTATCGGATCAGATTTCTGCTAACATTGTAAATCAGATATGGATTTAGTAATTAAATATTCGTTGGATTATCCGATCGGATCGGATAAATTTCTCTTATCGGATCGGATATAGACAGATTCGATTCATATCCGATCTATTTACAGCCCTACCCATATCCATATTTGATCCATTTAGTTAACGGATTATCGGATTCAGATCTTAATCGGGTTATCAGACTGAGACCCTAAATCCATCTCCCATTAATTTCGTCGAATTCAGATCGGATTCGAATCAAAATTCAATCCATTAACAGCCCTATGCGTGAAGGGGTGTATCAACGACTAAATCTCAATAAATAAATATGTCCCTCTAACCACGTAAAATCTCAATAAATAAATATGTCCCACTAACCACGTAAACTTTTAAACAAGGTAATCACCAGACATACCTTGATATCAGGGATTACATAGGCCATGTTACACAGGAAGGCCAATTTTGAGAAATGCTTAGTATCTGACCAGGACACTTGCCCCAACAATGAAGAAAATATTTTACTCAGTTATAAGTAAAGGAAAGGAGGAGCATCGTCATCATCATAATCAACTTCACAGCCTCCATCTTCATCACAACCTTCATTGTTTTCCCCAACAACATTAACATCTTCCCTTCGTTGTTTCTCTTTCCAATTATCCCGGATTTCCATGAGTCTTTCGATCCAATTTGCTCGTTTCTTGACCTTCTCCACGTCTATCTCATCTTCTTGTTCACTCTCGACCAATATGTCCTCGATATTAATCTCTTTACTCAACTCTAGATCAGATAAAAACGACTTTAGTGTATCCGGGATCATTGTACTTGTTAACTGGATATTGAAGAAGCCAGCTGAACTACTACTGCTTTTTAACTTTGGCTCAACCTTTGATGCCTGAATACGACTGACACGACGAAATAGATCGTCGTCGGAATAAGTTCTTCGTATTCCGGCCCTTCTGGGTAAACCTTTGCTTGACCATGATTTACGAAGCCTGCCTTCGTATTTCAGTGAGTTTTCAGTAGTGAATGGAGTAGAGCTAGTTATGGATGGCAAACTGAATGCCATCTCTGCAACTTTTTCACACAGTTACAATTTTCTCTCTATTTGCATGTGTCTGTAGAGTGAGAAAGAACTGTTAAAAAGTTTTTAGGATAACTTCTTGAAACAAACCACATAGAGAAAGACACTTATAAAGACATTCCAATATTTAGCAAACCTCGTTTTCGGCGAGAACCTTAACAAGATTCTATTTTGTAACCATTAAGAGATATTCAAATTGTTGAACTCACTAAAATATAGTCCCCGTGGCAATTTGGCAAGTATATTCTCTGGTATGGATGAGGGTATAATTGTAAATGCACAAATACATGAAAAAAGTCTCTTGATTCAAGAAGCTTTGTAGGTGTCATCATATCTTGTCTTCTTTAACAAAGTTATTCTAACCATCAACGATAAAGTTCATGGCATAGAAGTCTCTACATTTGGTTCATTTGATATTTTCATTGTATTACTATATAAATACAAAATATAGTTTATTAGAAAGTATTGACGAAGTCTCTAGTAATTACAAATGGCGTCTCTATAGATACTATGGACAAAAATATGTAACCCTCTTTATGCTAACAATTATGTCATTCTTGTCTTTAGTACTCCAGAAAAACAAATTTTGATCGATGTTGTATTTGCTCAATATATACAATTGATTCATGAAAAGACTTCATGTGGGTGGGTTGGATGTACTTTATCTTCAGCTAGCGGTTTGATATTCAGTGTGGCTCTTCCAAAAATGAACTCTTTAGTTGAGAAACGCATGAGGTATTTGTCTAAGCAAGTTCCCTTGATAATTAGCGGATCCCACATTAGTCTAAATAAAAAGGGTTAGCCTAAATTTATAGTTTAGTCAAAGGGAGAACGTGCAACAGTTAGATTCACCACACTGTTAAGAGCAGTTTTTCGAATCCAAATTATTTGAAATATATTTTTGAAAAACCCTTAGTTGGACTAAAAACGGTGAAAGAAAACACTGAATGCCGTGTAAAGGTGTTGTGAATTCCATAATTAAGATGGTTTAGCAAATTGTTGGGTTTAGCTTGAATTGGAACTGTGTAGACATATTGTTAACAAAATTTACTGTCTATGATCATTAATTGTTCAGACCTAGGTGTATTCTAAAAAGGTTGAACCCCGCCCCTCCTGCTCCGTCCCGCCCCTCCCCCAGAGCATTGTGGAAGAGGTAAATCGTGGAATGTGTATCAGCAGCTCAGGATACAAGAACTGTCATATTAGTATCCACAAAGAATCCAATTACATATCTTGTAAGAGGTAGGAATCGAACCCTCACATTGCGGCTGCCAGCCCAACTAAAACTACCTCACTCATGTCATTTGCGCCGCTGAAGTAAATTTTGTAGTGAAATTAGAAGTGGCACAACTTTTCAGGAACATAACCATTGGTTTTGACCTTTCCTTTGTTTTTGATGATATAAATTTTGTTATTAGCATTTTCATGCATAAAAACGTTATTCTTAGCGTTGTAAACTAAGATATTCTTGCTTTTTGTCTCTGTCCCTGCTGCACATAGGACGTATGTTATATTGGGGGGAAAAACAAAAATATATCAAATTATGCCCTGTTTGATTCCATTTACTCTAATTTATTTCTCATATTCATTTTCAATCGCACAATAAAATATTATGTGCGTAAATTCAAAACTTTTCTTTACTTTTCAAACTGCACTTAAAGTATAATAATCTAAATCATATCATTTTATAGAAGTTTAGTTTAGTTTAGTTCAAAACTATTTCGTTGACGAATCCACGAAACACTAAATTGACGGTTTTAAGACAATAGTTTCGACTCAATTTTTCAGATTGACAGTTTTTGCTTATATTCCTACTTTCACTAGATCCTTTTTTGGGGCAGCAATATGAGGCAATCGGTCGGTATGCATTGTTTGTCTAGTAATTTATACGTCTGCTATGTAGAAATGGACTATACTGAAAAAGTGTCCTATGAATCAATAATTTTTCGATCTATTGCTGCCTAATCTAGTGTAAGACTACGTCAACAAGTGTAATTTCTTTGTTAGCATCTACGTCGTTAGTGTTTGAAACAAATTAAAAAGTAAAAAAATTAACACGTGACTTCTACCAACAACTTACAAAGTAGAATAAAACATTAAACATTTCTTGTAATTCTCAAAACATTTACCAATTCCCTTGGAGCAGAACCCACTTCAATTTGTTAACCTTTATGATCGGAAATTTCTATGGAATAATCTTATATTAATATTCTTTGGCTAAAAAGAGAAAACGAACAAGAAAATTATAACTTGTACTGCTTTTCCACTTGGATAATTGTGGCATCGAATAATGAATACTAGTGAAGAAAAAAAAAATGTGATAGAACTGGACAAAACTCTTGAATCAAATCGGATCGAATCGGACTCGAACCGAATCGAACGGTTCTTCTTAAGTTAAATACCCAAACGATTATCTGAATCGAGAACCGACGGGTTTGATTCAGTTCTCAGTTCTATACCAAGAATCGAAAAATCGAATCTTCCTAATTTTTTAAATTTTTTTATCTTAAATAAGTCAAATTATTTTATTTTTTAAAATAAATTTGCTAACTAATTACTTTAATACAAACCCAAAATATGATTTTACTATTTCTAATTTCTATCCAAACCCAACGTAATCAAATTGACATAAGTTTTACCCAAATATCTTATTCTACTATAGTGTCGTTTCCACCGTTATATTATTGTGAACTATCCATCTTTCTCTTCCTATGATTTTAATAGTCAAACTTATAAAGACTCAACAAAGAGAGTGCAAAAGATATTACGATATTGAACTACGTTATTTTTTAAGAGTTAAGATTGAACATGTCATAGTCAAATTAATGTAGCGTTGTAATATAAAAAAAATTAATTATTATACGGAACCCCCGGAACCGAACCGAATAGAACCGAACTCGAACGGTTCCATTATTAAATTTAGACCCGACGGTTCCATTTATTAAATACCGAAAATTCGAATTCATTCTCTTGAGAACCGAACTGAACAGGACTATGTCAAACCCTAATATGTGATATCTTTATTTTAACATGCAACCGAATCGAACTGAACTATGTCCAGCCCTAATATGTAATATCTTTATTTTGACATGTACTCCTATAGAAGTTGTTTTGTTGTTCCACAAATAAAAGATCATAGTTAACCATGAAAATCCTTTATAGTCCCACGATGTATACATGCTTTTAGTATGGTTTGGGTTTGACTACACAAAGGTCTTCTGTATTATCCGTTTCTCTCTTAACGAAAATTTTCTTGTCCAATGTCGTCGACATAAGTGACGTGCTATATAAATTACAAACAGCCTAAGTGACGTGCTATATAAATTACAAACAGCCTAGAGCTAGAAATTATATAGTACTTAAAATTTTTAAGGGAAAACGTTACAATCTCGTTAAATTATTATTCAATCTTATACAATAATATGTTATGCTTACTAAAATCTTATATTATTTTAATATTCCGTCTAGATGTGCATACCAAACATTTTGACATTCACAGATCCTTGGACTATGCATTCCCCATAGACTTTGGGCCAAAGTTTAATTTGAGTTTGTCCCTTGGTGAAATACAACTCCTTTTATTATAGTGAACCAATAATAAACTCATCCAAATTCTAAAGTCTGTTTCCACGCGTGTTGCTCAACGCTGAAATTGGTATTACCTTAGATTATTTTTTTGTTTTCAAGTTCAATGTCGTGAAAGATAAGGCTTAACAGTAGAAAACTCCATATTTATTAAAAGTTGTGCAGAAAATTCCATACCTATTGGAAATAAGAGAAAACCCTCTCGTTTGAAACATTTAGTGTGGAATACAACCTTTTAGGTATGGAAAACCTCCTATCATTCAATTATGTAGTTTAACCATTGTAAACAATAAAAATTACCACAATTAAAAAAGAATAATTGTAACTGCAGTCTCAAAACTTTTTATTTTTTTTGCAAATTATACCCGATTCTTTTTTTTTATGTGCTACTCACAATCTCAAACCTTTGAAACTTTATTTTCCCACCCCACTCCATGTTCTTCGAGCAAAAAAAATTGGGNACTTTATTTTCCCACCCCACTCCATCTTCTTCGAGCAAAAAAAATTGGGAGTGTGAGTGGCAATTAGATATAATTTGTAAAATATTAAAAAGATTGGGGCTGCAATTGCGATTATTCCTGCTTAATTTTGACAAATTTTAGGGTGTATTTGATTGTCAGCATGGAATTTGCATGAGAATAAAATGTTTCCTAGGTAATTGAATTTTCGGGAGCTTATTTGCATGTAATTTGTCAATTAAATGTGTTTGATTGACTTGATTTTTAACCTAAAAAATGTTTTACTTTTTCATCTTTTGGTGTTTGATAACCATTTTTTTTTTTTTTTTATGGATTTA